CGTACCAATGTTCAGCTTTATGCGAATTATTGTAAGCTTACCCATATTTTTTGAGCTAATTTGACCGGGTTATAATATTGAAAAGGCCAAATGAGACGGATTTTGTTCGGGAAATAATAATTTAATTTAAAATTTTGAAGCTTCTGTAGAAATGAGCGAATATCTTGGTCTCAATACTTGCAATTCAGTCCATAAATTCATTACCGGCTTACCAGCTGTAAAGAAATTAGTTTTAGTGACTTCTGCGTCTGCTGAAGAGTTAATTTACTAATCTAATGTCTTTTTCTTAGAATTGTATATAAAAGATCCCTACAAAAACGAGAATTTGATTAATGCGCCAAAATACAAGTGTTCGTGGTGATATCGGAATTGTTATCCCTGGGTTCATACATAGACGAATTCAGTTTTTATTCCCTTTGGGATGTATTAAAAATTTTTCATGTGAAGCAGATAGCTTAATGAATATCTTATGCAAATTTTTCGCTGGAATTTTTATAGACCATGAAAAAAATGTTAATGCTGTTGACATTTTACTGAAATAAAAAAATTGTAGTTTTCACCTAAAATTACATGCATGCATGCATGTATGAAATTAAAATCGAGGTACATCAATTTAATTGGCAGAATTTATAATTCAATATCTCGATTTAATTAGTATATGCCTAATATGCTGACTGGATATTAATATGAATCTAGAAAAAAATAGCACCCACATGTTTAATTTACGATAAATCGTGTGGGATTATGTTTTGCATATTTGCAGTGAATGTAATGCTATTGACGCATCCCTGTTACTATTAGAGACAGCCCCATCAAACTTTGCATAATTGTTAATAGTAAAGAAATAAGGTTTTTTTTCTGAATAATATGTAAAATATAGAGACATCTTTAAAAATAAAAAATAACATAAAGTTTCTTGTTATCTCTGATAAAAGTAGTGCTCAGACCACAATACTAGGTCATAACCATAAACCAGGCAAATCGTATAAAAATTATAAAGTAAACTGTGAATTAGTTACACAACTTTATATAAAGTCAGCGATTCCAAAAATGCTTCTTCTTATTATTGTGGTAAGACAGTGGAAATTATAAAAAAAATATTTTATCCACAATCACCTTATAATCGGACTTTTATCCACACATATGAACCGTCTAAAGTGATACTTTATCCACTAATGAAATAATGTAACCTTATTTCACTAGTAGAATAAAGAAAAAATAATAAACCTATAATAAACCAAATTTAATTTATTTACTTATTAACATTAACAATTACATTTATAGTAATAGTAAGAAATATCAAGTCGTGCGAACATTTTTTAATTAAATTCCAATAATTCTGGCTCCACAAATATGATTGTGGTGTGATTATGGATGAAACGTTGTATTGCATTCGTGTTTTAATTGCCTTTTATCCACTTAAGAATATTAAACATTCTTGCGTGGATAAAATGCTACTTAAAACATTTATACAATAAATAACTATTATCCACACATATGAACCGTCTAAAGTGATACTTTATCCACTAGTGGAATAAAATAAACTTTATTTCACTAGTAGATTAATGAAAAAATAATAAACCTATAATAAATCAAATTTAATTAATTTACTTATTAACATTAACATTTACATTTATATTAATAGACCATTTTTGTTTTACTACATTTAACTTAACGCCTTAACCTTTCCGTTAATAACAACAGTCGTAATCATTTTCAGAACACATAAAATCTGCCGAAGTTTGTGAAGAATTTGCACAAGTTACGAATGTCTCTTTTTGTAAGAAACAGCTACATTTTCCTTGGATTTTCCTTTCAATATCAAGTTTGTTAGATATAGACTCCTCAACATAACTTTCAGCTACAAAGGAGCTCTTGCATCCACCATGCCGTTTGATGGTTGTAAAATCTGCACCTTTATTGGCCAATAAAGTTGATGCAGTGCGCCTCATACAATGACCAATATATGCTTCTGGATTTGTGATATTCGGGAATGAAGCAACTGTTGAGGGTACCTTCGACAATGTGTTGATTCCAACAGGCTGAGAAGTACATTTCTGATTGATCTATCTTAAAAAGAATCTTGTGTTAGGCGAATTGGGCGCAGAGAAATATATTTTCTGCATATTTCAACAGCATTCACGCAAAATCCTTCTTCTATAATTGTAAATTCTATATTGTAAATTTTCTTGAAATGCCCGACTTGGTGTCAGGTATTGAAACAAGTAGGTAACTGCCAACGTTCTGTACCTAACTAATTTTCAAATTTGTCAGTTCGCAGCATCGACAGGCACCAGAAACCCTCATTGTTAGTGCAACGTAAAATAACTCAACGTTCTCTATAGGTATACCTAACAACATGTAAAAGGTAAAGAGATATTATCTTAATCATTAAAGATTCTTTATCGGAAGCCCCAGTCAAAATTCTTCAATATGTGCTATTTCCAATACTGCAGCTTTTTTGCTTTGTATCCTCTCGATTCACTCTTTAACCCATTAGTCCAGAGAGTGTACTAGTATTTTTATTTAATTAAAAATAATATTGTTTTAATATTACTTTTTTTAAAGAAAATACGATATTTAAAACTTTAGAACACATTTTCAAACAAATGTTGTTCTAAGTTAGTAAAAATGAGCAGACAATTTTTTTTTGAGCCAGGCGTAAATAAAATATCTATTTTGATACTCATGTAGTTTTTTTTTACATATGTTTTCAAAACGATGGTCATAATGATACATATATGTAGTGGATGCGTATGCGTACCTTTGGCCAATAACGATTGACATATTTATTCACCCTATGCAAGTCTGGACAAACCTTGGCATATAAAATACAGGACTTGTCAGAACATATATCAGTTCATTATTAGCAGAGTGTACTTCTTGGTTTTCCTTTGCATAAAAAAGTGTAGTTTTGTATAAAATATTGTTTGAACTAAAGTTTTTTGTAATGCATAATAGTTATTTTTTTGGATACATCTAGTGCCAATATGAGGCAAGAGATTTTTGAGTTGTATAGAAGCTATAGAGATATAATTTTGTTTATATTATTGCAGTCATTTGTTAAAATAGAAAATGAAAAGGGCACCAGCCACTAAAGAGTTACTTGCTTTGTTAGAAGAGAACTCAGATTGTGAAAATGCCGAATTGGTTGATGTTTTTTATGTGCCGCCAGAAACAGATGAGGAATACTTTGATGAAAATATTATTGGAGAAGAGGGATTGCAGACGGATATTGCAGGAACGTATGAAATACAACCAAGTATAGATAGTGATGATGATTTGGAAGATGGCGCTTTTAGTTTTTTATGTGAAAATGTTCAAAGTAAGCTGGATGCAAATGCACTTTACACTGTGCACACAACGAAATCTCAGCTAAAATTTCTTTCGGATTTAGCTCTCTCTTTAGATAAAGAAAACAGCGATGTTGCTTCAAATACCGCAGTATTCAACTGAACCCATGGAAGACCCTCTCAATCCGCTCTACCAGGTGAAGCCAAATTTGACAATATCGGGCATATTTTATTATAGAGAGGTTAATAGTGCAAGAAAAAAGTGTCGATTTCGCAAAAATAATACTATTTACTTGTGTAAAATGCATTTGCATTCAGCTTACTTTGAAAATTTCACATAAAAAACTAATTTAGTTTTATTAATTTTAATAACTGTTTTCAGCCAAAGGTGCGTATACGCACCTACGTGTTTTTTTTTTTTCAAAATACTGTTTATGATTTTTTTCAATAGCAAATTAGTCTTAATGTATGTGTTTTGAATATACTATACTAATAATAAAAAAAATCTTTAAAAAATGAGTTTTTCTTGTTTTGGCAAGTAATGGCTTAAATAAGCAGTAAGTTTATCATATTTTCTAATATCTATATTTTTTGTAGACCTTTATAGTAGCCTTCAACATCGAATACTTCGACTACATAGACGAAATTGCATATTTTTTCTACAAATTTAAAAAATATGATAGCATGACTTCTTCATTTATAGTCATTACTCTCTGTATTTCCCTCTATTCGTTAAATTCGGCGAGCACTTTTTCGTAATGTTCCCTGGATTTCACTGGTAATAAATGAAAAATTGCTACTTGAGCTTCTTCAAAAACAGCCAGAAGAACACAATTACTTTCTTGTATTTTTACCAAAATCAGATAGAACTGTTTACTAAATAATTGATAATAAACGACGTACCAGTAGGTATAATAAAACCTACCACGTTTCATTGACTACTAGTAAGAAATATCAAGTCTGCTAATATTTTTTTATATTATTCCAATAATTCTCCACAAATATGATTATGTGGTTGTGGATAAAACGTTGTATTGCATTCGTGTTTTAATTGACTCCACTTAAGAATATTAAACATTCTTGCGTGGATAAAATGCTACTTAAAACCCTCATCAAATCGAATTTTTGCACCTATATTTGTTTACTCTCAATAATTTATATTAATATATATTAATTATTAAATATATATTAATAACTTAAGTTACATAATAAACAGTATTAAATATAAGACAACCATATAAAATTGACTCAATTTGTTAATTGAAAGTGTCGAGGGATGTACGAAACAAGTATATTTGTAAGAAAAATGGATGATAAAAAGTCCTAGTAGGAGTTAAACTGGTGTATGCAAATTTAGTCTATTTTTGCATGTGTTGATAATCGATTTCATTTTCTGCAAGCTCAGAGAGTCTCACTTTAAGCGACGTCTAAGAAATTCAGATAAGAAAGCTGTGAGAGCATATTCACTGAATAAATTTCGTGAGGTTTACAGCATAACCGAATAAAATTTGAGAATTACCTTATTTCTTACTACAGTCGAAAAAATAAGCAAGCGGAACGCTGATGCTTTCCTCTTTCGTTCCGTTTCATTGCTTCAAAGGAATATATTCCTAGCAACATGATAAGCCTTTTTCCGGTATTCTTACTTCTATAATATAATTCTTTTTATAAAAAACGCCATCATACAAATTATTTCTTTTTTTACAGAGCTTCATTTTTCGAGTGATGAGCCACCCCAATTACCCTAACTACACCCAGTGTGTTTCCTTTGAGTTTTTTACTTCTCCTGCTCAAGAAGTGGCCTACAACCTAATGTGCGTCATGTTCATGTATTTCATTCCTCTCTTCGTCATCGTCGTCGCCTATACCGCTATCATGTGTGAAATCTCCAAGAATTCCAAGGGTACACAGGGTAAGTGACAAAACTTATCATTGATAATAATAATCCGCTCTTTTTTCCGTAGAAGCGTTGAATTCCAAACCTAAAAATTAATTAAACATCTTTCTCTTTAAGAACAATTGGCTTTGTTGTTCGTGCATTGGAAACAGTTTGCTACAGTCCGAGACAATTGCATTTGATTCGAAACAAAGAATTTTGAATCTTATGTAAGCATTATATTACATATAGGAATACGTATGCGACTGAATATCGGAAACTGTTTTAGATTGCTTTAGGAACAGGGCTAATTATAATTAGGACTTGACAGTCAGATGGTAGTGAATTTTTATTTAAGGGATTTTAGGGATTCCAGGGCGATGTTCATACGAGTTGCCTTTTATATTTTGGGAATAAAGAACAAAAGGAGAAAATCAATACACTTCTGCATGAGCTTGAACCAATTTTCGAAGTACTTTTTCAATTCCGAATGAGGTACCTTCAGAACATGCATTTTGATCGCATGAACCGCTTTTTTAGGCTTCGAAAAACGTTGACCTCGTTTATTTAATTTTGATGTGCGGGAATAAAAAAGTCATTGGGGCTGTACGGAGGATGACTCAGAATTCGACTTTCTCATTTCTCAAAAAGTGCTTTGTTTGAGCCAATGTATGAGAGCTCGTATTGTCCTGGAGAAGAATGATGCGTCTTCGGCGGTTGGTTTCCCTTATTTTTCCGAAGATTTCTGACAAAAAATGGTTGAGTACCATTCAGAGTTGACCGTCCGATGTTACATTAATGGTACAGTTACCACATGTCTGGTTTTTCCGCAAAAACACGCGACCATTTGGTTTGAACTAAACAACTTTTCTTGGATTTGACTCATCTTGAAAGATCCATACAGTCGAATGCTGTTTACTTTCGGGCTCATACGCATAGATTCATGATTTGTCATCTGTGTTGCAGTACCGTAATCGGATTTCTGAAGCATTTCCCTCGACCAATCGACACGAGCCTTTTTGAGCGTTTGTAAAATTATGTGTGATCCAATGCCGAACAATTTTTTTTGACGGCCAATATTATTTCTCGTACAACATCAATGTTTTCTAGAACAACAAACAATTTTGGGCAGCCTTCACGAAATTCGTCAGTTAGCAAACTACGACCGCGATTGTCACCAATGTCTACGCCTCCGTTTCCTAGTAGATTCTTGTTACCCGATTTTTTCGAAGCCGCGGCTAGTGAGACTTCTAGGAAGGCGTAAAACTTAGGATTGCTGTTTTTTTTGTAAAAAAAAATCAGAAACTTTCTAAAATGGTTTGATATTAAAATAATAGTCAGAGGTTTGGTTTACCGTGGTCCGAGAGTCATTAGTCGATTCGTATTTAAGTGTCTGTCACTATCTAAATTTAACTTTATTGATGTCTGATGACTGATGACAGCGATGTCGCTGTGTTTTTTCTGTCTACGATGATTTTGTATTTATTTTACATTAGATTTAATGCAAAGTCTCGGGTTCGGTGACAGTAGTATAGCTATAGGCGTACGGAGCCAAAATCCCATGTATTTTCTTATGGAGGTTCATCCTGGTCATTTTTGACGAATTTTACCCCCTCTCCTC